TCCCAGAAGAAGACTAATACTATTCCAGAAGAAAATGAAACCCTAGAAGAGGTAAATGTCCTGGAAGAGACTAATATGATTCCAGACGAATAAGTTTCCTAAAGAAACATCGGTACCGAAAGAAAATGAGATCTCTATTAATTATGTGCGAGACTATACAATATGGAACCAAAATGAAACACGTGTTAATGATATTCTTGCATATGCTATGGCAATGGATGTAATCAATAAAAGGGATTACATGTCTAAAACTCAAAGAAGAGTACATGTAGATAATACATAAATGATTTGCCAAATGCCAAAAGACCCTGAAGGTCGAATATAAGTCACTCGATAAACGAAATATTTTCGGACCTGAAGTCTGAACACCCATAGACGTCAAACCAATATGTTTAAAATGAGTGTCTGTAATCAACAGAAATAAAATGAATGAGATTGTGCGATACGAAGTACTACTTGTAAGGCAAGGGTTTTTCCTTAATCCCAGGAGTTGATTATGAGGAAACGTATTCTCCACAAGTGGATGCAATATCCTTATAGAATTTTAATTGGCCTCGCAATCTCAAAAGGACTTCAAATAAATGATATAGATGTCGTTATAACATAATTATAAGGGACACTTGAAATCGACATCTGTGTGATAATAATTCCTGAAGGATTCAAAATGCTAGAAGCAATAAAATTAATACATCGAGATATGTGTGAAGAGATCGTGGAATGGTCTCAAGTAATCTGGTCATATGTGGTACAATTGACCCAGTGAATATCTCGAAAAGGAAAGATACAAATTTGAAATCAAACTATGTGTTGTCATTCAAGGATCGCTCTTAATATTCTTTATTATAGCAGTTTACGTCGACGTATAAATATCATTAGATCTCCTGAAGAGATAGAAAAAACTATTGAACTCTTGAAGAGAGAATTTGAGATGGAAGATCTTGACATGACATAAATTATACTTAGGATTGTATTTTAAACACCTATACGACGGGACATTTGTCCATAAGTTAAACTACGTCTAGAAGATGTTAACACGTTGAAATATGGATAAAGCTCATCTTTTGAACATACCCATGGTTGTTCACTCATATATATACATAAACATTCTAATCGCCTCCCAGAAGAGGGCGAAGAAGTACTAGGTCCTGAAGTACCATATTTAAGTGTGAAATTAGACAGGTAATGTGTTCACATATGGTGATGCGGCAATTTCTTGGAAGTCGACTGAGCGAGCACGAACAACAACATTGAATCAAGCCAAACTGATAGCATTATACGACAATGATCGAGAGCGAGCATGGTAGAGATTGATGATCAATCTCATACAAGGAGCATGTAATTTGAAAGAAATCAAGAAGAATGCTACGATTATATATAAAGATAACGCAACATGCATAGCTCAAATCAAGGAAGGCTACATCAAGGGAGACAGAACGAAGTAAATCTCTGCAAAGTTTTTCTCAACATCTGATATGCAGAAAGAAGGAGAGATCGATGTTCTTCAAGTTAAATCAAGCAAAATTTGGCAGACTTATTCACCAAATCTCTGCCTAGACACAGTTTTGAGCAACTCATAAAGAAGATTGGACTTCGCAAGCTAAAAGAGATAAATTAGTTTGAGGGGGAGTATATTTTTATTTTGAAGGAAAACATTATACACGCTGTACTCTTTTTCCCTTAACTAAGTTTTGTCCCACTGGGTTTTATTAGTAAGGTTTTTAATGAGGCAGCATAACTGATCCTGCAGTATCAGTTAATATAGGTCCTGAAGAACCTAGCCAACATTATCCCGTAGCATAATGTTGTTAGTGTATAATGAACGATGATATATTTGAGAGGGAGTGTTAAATATGGCAGATATATTACTCCTATTATTTAGAATATCTGGTTACCTTGTTTACCTAGACTTTACCTCCTCCCCGTGTATGTATAAATACCCCCATATATGATGAATAAAGTACTCAGTTCACAACAATACCCCATTTTTTGTAGATAATATTTTTTTAATTTTAATAATTAATTAACAGTAAATAAATAAATACTCCTTATAGTCCTTAACTAAAAAGTTATTTTAAAATGATTTCTCAAAAATTTATTTAAAAATTATTTTAACTATCTTGAGTCAAAATGTTATACTCCGTGGAAAAAAAAAGTTTTAATGCAGCATTGTAATTTGGACACATATGTGATGAAACCAACCATATGCCATAGTCGAATCGATTCAATGGAATTAGACCGTTAGATTCAAATTTGAAATCCCCCGATAAATCTTCTCGTCTTCTTCCTATCTCTACCAATAAGAAAAACCCAAGAAAGTTGAGTTCTTGCCACCGTTTCCGATTCACCGGAAGCCATGAAAAACACCCCAACAACGCCGACATCATCATCGACCACCGTGGAATCTGAGGCCAGAGAGAGCTGTTATTTCCCGGGATGTAGGAAGGACGCCAACTGCAACTGCCGCATATGCATCGCCAGCATGAGCGCCGCCTTCGATTTGATGACGGAAAACGTCCAGAGAAGCACTCTCACTAAGCTCTCCGCCGTGAAAAGCCGCCACCTCCCGAGAAGCCCTGTTCGGTTCAACTCTTCCAGCTTTTCAACTCCCGATTCCTGTTCGGGTAAATCCGGGTCCTTTTCCTTGGAATTGGATCCGGGTTCCGGGTTGAGAGTTCATGATACAAAGAAGATGAAGGAGAAGAGTCTAGGGTTTGGGCTTCTGATGATGAGGCTTCTGTTTGGATTGGGATTGGTTCTCTGGTTTGAATTTGGGGTTTCTCCGGTGCTTTTTGGGATCTTGGGTCCTGAATTTTTGCCCGAAGTCGTTACGAATCTGGGAGAAAAATCTCTGGGCTTTAATGACTTCAAGGAAAGATTGAATTTTTTAAAGAATGAAATGCAAAGCTTGGTTGAGGAAGAGGTATCAAATTGCAGCTCTGCTAATTCCATGTGGAAGGTTGATCAGGTCTGCCTCTTTTTCTTGAAAAAACCTCAAGAAAAAAAAGATCATTTTTTTTTGTTCTTCTCAAATGCCATTTTTTAGATTCTTATTTTGTTATTAATTACGGAGTAATAAATCTGTTTTTTTAGGATGGGCTGATTTTGAATTCAAGATGTACCTTGTACAAGTCCCTCACTGAGGAAGTGGCCATTTGGGGATGGCCACTTCAGACTGCTGGATTTCTCACAGCAGCATATTGCTCAAGATCTTTCACTCTCTTATCAGGAAGATTGACAGAGGTGGGATTTCATATTACTTTACACTGTAAAATAAATAAAGAAATAAAAATTTGTGATACCCAAACATACCCTTGTATCATTTTCTTCATGAATCATGATATTCCCTTCTGCAATGATCAGTGGAAGAATGGAGAAATGGGGTATTCGATTCGAAGCGTTAACAGTTCGTGGACACAAGGAAGATGGAGTTCATCAGCAGTTCAGCTGGATCCCAACACATGGATTCTGGAATACAGTGAGTTCCCTATAAGGGAAAATACAAAACTGGTTTCTGCATTTCTTGAATTTCTCAAGTTCAAGATTGCAAAAGTGTTGAAAAGGTTAGAAAGAAAGTTTTGGCTTTCGTCTGTCGTCCGGCGTAGCCATGTCCATGATCTCGGAGCAGGGAGTTTCAGAGTCCCAACTTAGGCCTCATGAGAAGCTTTTTCTTCTTCTTCTTCTTCTTCTTCTTTCTTTCAATCTTTCTTTAGCATTGATTTTGGTATGGTATAATTTGCATATATGTTAAGTGCTTCAAGTTCAACATGAAGTTGTATGGTACAAAAGAGTATTTTGGAAGCATTGAATGTGTGTGTGTATAAGAGACAAATGATGTATAGCTAGACATTCTTTTGGTGTTAATTGTAATCAATATTTTCTTCGATGAGATTGCGTGTGTTATAACGCTTGAGAGAGCCCTCCGATCAGCGTGGGTCCCGTGGAATTGACGATTGGAGAGCTCATGAGCTCCTTTGCTCCATGGAACATGATGGGTCTAGATGATCACGATATGATCATCTCTCCCCCTATAGAAAGAATCGGATTTAATATACTTTAGAGCGTTCACACCAATAAATAAATTTAGCACGCGTGTAAATTTTTTGCATCCCGCTTGAGAGTTTTGATAGTCATCCATGTGGACAAATTTTTTTGTCACGCAAAGCGTGGGAAAAAAAGATGGAGATAGAGCTTGGCATGTGAGTAATTGGTAGGGAAAAAAGTTTTCCTTAACAATGGAAGAGCACTGTAATGATGAGAAAAAAGATGGCGTGGATGAGAAAGAAAGTGTAGAAAGAGATTGATGAGGATTTTTTGCTCGCCATTAGAATGCTCTCTTAGCAACCGTTTTTATGATATTTGCCTCGAAAAATTGAAGATCGGATAAAATTTTATGGCATGATATGTGTATTAACTTAAATTGAATGTGATGGCGGACTCAATTGTGGAGAGTACCAAGACAATGAACATTTTATTTGTTCATTTCCTTTGGTGAGCACTCACTTCAACCTTTTTTTCATCTTCCTTCTAAAAAAAATAAGAATTCGTTTGGTACACGAAATTAAAGATCCATTTGGTACACGAGATTAATAGAATCAAAATTGAATTGTAATAAAAATTCTCTTGAATTGATATGAATGAATGGAATTAAATTCTCCAATTTCAATTTATTTTTTTCATTACCAATTCCAAATTCATATATTTTTTGTACTATCAAACAACATAATTGAAATTGAAGTTCCCGGTTCCGAATTTTAATTCTAAGAATTTTGCATACCAAACATAGGCTAAATTTACATTAACAAATTTTTTTATGAACTCTTTCTCAAATACGGAGTGATTTAACATGAATATAGGTATTGGTTTTTCAAAAATGAACATAGATTGGTCGTTGACCTGTTCCAGAATCCTTTGTCAAATCCCAACGGTATAAGATGAACCTAAGCTAAATTAATGTGATAGTGGACTCAATTACACGAGTACAAGGGGGAAAAACTAATTATTCGTGGTACATTTTAATAAGATTTTTATTTATTTGTGAGTAAAATTTCATAAATGGTTACCAATTATATGTAGTTTTTCATACTTAGTTCCTAATTATAAGGCATTTCATAAAAAGTCCTTAATATTTGAAAACTATTCCATAAATAGTCCTTTCAAAACCTTATCAGAAAGGATTATTTTGAGAATTTACTCAAAATATTGTCATATTTGGTGAAAAAGACTATTCGTGAAAAAGTTTTTAAAAATTGAGGACTATTTATTAAATATCTTACAGTTGGGAACTAAATATATTTAGATACCGTTTATGAAATTTACTCTTTATTTGTGGACTGTTACATGGATTTAAGATCCATAATAGTAGAAGTTAACATGTGGACAAATACTCCCCCCAATTTCAAATTAATTTTTTTTAACACTGAGGTCATGTTCTCTTCACCTGATCTTATTGATTCTGATTTAATTGTAAGAAATTCTGATCTAATCTGATATGATCTGAATGTAATTATATTCCAAGCTATTTTTGATCTAAAATCGCCCAATCTGATTCCAATAAGAATAAATAATAAGTAAAAAAATAAATTGAGGAAAACATGGCCTAATAACTCCATTAGGAGATGGTATATTATTTTTCACGAATCAATGTGTTTATATCTTAATTTTTGTCCGTCTTACTCACTCCGTCCCAATTTATATTGCCTGTTTCGGTTTACGATATTTGATTGAAATTATTGTTAAATCATTTTATATGAAAAATGATATAGAATTAAAAATAAAAATTACATATTAAATTACTACATCAAAAGATCTACAAGACTATTGGTGATATAACTACTTTATTTTATTAAATTAAATGATTACCGCAAAAAGAGAAAGAAAGTGAATGAAGTTTGATCCTATAAATAGTAAACAACGTCAAAGCATCTAAAGTTCAGCTCAAATTGGATCCAAAGTAAAAAAAAGAACAAAAAAAAATACACAAGGTTATCCAATGGTACCATTGGAATTGCCACTTTATTAAGCAAGGAGTGTAATGATACTTGCATACTCTCTAGTAGTACCCGGTGGTGTTCTCTAGCATTACTGGAAGAAAAAAAATAATAAGTGTGGGAAAAAAAGCATGTCATCCTTATTCCAAGCATATCTCAGTGGACAGAAGTCTAAAAGGGAGTTGAGGAAATAATAATAATATTAATTAATAATAATAATAATATTAATTAATAATAATAATAATAATATGTGTTACCTATTGTTGAAATAAAACTCGAGAAAAGAGACTCAGGTCTCGAAGGTCATGTTCTCTGCCTCATGCCGAACGGATTCAAAGAGAACGGACGAAAGGTAACGCTCTCCAAAGCTTGGGAAAACAACCTGCACAGCATGACAAATGATCTCTCTTAAACCTCAGACCAAACAAAATCTGTTACCTGTCAGATCCTGAGTTAGAGAATTGTAATGGGTTCAGTCTAATGAGTCTACAATGCTCATAACACAGCATATTTTGGGGAGGGTGTGGTGTGGTTTCTTGTTTTTAGTTGTATTTTTATATTTTATAGTTTCGGTAGTATTATGGTGCCGAATTCATAAGCAATGTTTAGGGGCCTGTTTCGCTGGAGGGGTTTGCATGGGACAGCTTGGTCTATAAATGGTAACTATAATGTTTCTAAAAACAAATATCAAATACATATAAAGCTAAAAACCAAGTCCTACAAAGCCTTTCCCTCAAAACTACTTTAAAATCATCTACCCGAATAGAATCTAAAGGTTTTCCGTATTTTTTTCATTTAGGATGCAGATTGTGTTAAATGGTGAATTAGTAAGCAAAAATCTTATAAATTGGAACCACAGTGATATGTGAAGTAAATCATGGAATAAAAAATTGGAATCAAAGTGAAATGTGAAGTAAAACGTGGAATCAAAGTGAAATTTGAGTTAAAAAAATGGAATCAAACTATGTAGTTATAACATATGGAGTATAATATGCACAGTAATTGTTTTTTCTAACTTAGGCTACCTTCCATTCAACTTATTTTTTCAATTTATTACTTTATTTTAATTAAAATCAGATCAGACCCGATGAGAAATAGCTTTAAATATATCTAAAATCAAATCAAATCAGACCAGATCTTCAAAAAATCATATCACATCAGATCAGGCGAACGGAACGCAACCTTAAGAGGTCCCAAGTCCTCCTTGTCTACACGGGATGCCACAAACCATTTTGAGTGCGGTGAAAATTAGACATGTTTATGTTTTGGAGTACTATTTGGCATGATAGGTTAAAGATGAAAGAGAAATTGGTGTTAAGTTGCACTATTTTAGTGTCAAGTACACCAAATATGGATTTTTTGTTTTAGATGACCTAATGCAATTGTATGTACCTTCTAATGATAGTGACTTAGAATCTTAGGCATATCGTTAAGAAGTGAAGGAAAAAAGAAGCACATACAACAATGAGTTTCCCGGCATTCTCTGGCCTCTTTGCAACTTTAATTGCAGCAGCTGCGGCAGCACCTGATGATATTCCCACCTGCAGTTGATATTCTCGTGAAATAATTAAGCTGGAAATAGTGTGAGATTGGAGGACAAACAGATACTGACATTTTGAAACACAGGAAGAACTTACCAGCAATCCCTCTTTCACAGCTAGCTGCTTTGCAGTTTGAATGGCCTCATCACTCGAGATCTGATTTGTAGCATCACAATAAACTAATTTAGTGAAAAGATGATTTCCAAAAATATTCAAATGAATTTTATTTCACAACATGCACTCCGTATTAGTATCAATTGTACTTTTAAGCATTTGAATCCTAGTTATAACATCATGTTTTTCAAAGTATAAAACAAAAAGAAATCCTTTCATAAATATTTATTCTTTTAATTACGGAGTATATAGTATATACTACTTTGAGCAAGCATGTACTCCAAAAACATTCTTGCTTAGTTGGTGGATATCTTCACATGATATGTAAGAGGTCTAAAGTTTGAATCCTTGTTAGTTGTGGCGGTATAATATTTTTGGCCAAAAAACAAAAAACAAAATCTGGTTTGACCTGCAGGTTCTTACCGACGAGTTCAAACTGGTTCACGGCTCAAAGCGGTAAAAGGGGCTGGACCAGACCGGTTCGCTGGTTCCCAGTCCGAACCAGCCGGTCCGGTTTTCAAAACTATGCTCTCAATCCTTACACTTTTTTGGCTGCTTGGCATGTAGTAGGTATCCGGATCTCTTGAGGATCCTTTTGGGGTAAATTAGACCCAATTACATGGAACTAAAGTCCAATCTAATGGTGTCGGTAGGGAACCTATTCACTTGGGCTGAGAGCCTAAGAGTGTCTATTGAAGTAACTGTAATGGTTTTGAACTAGGTTTTAGTATAATATATTACTCCGTAATATATAAGTCAGAGGTAAGCTTCGTCTTTTTAGAATCTTCTTGGGTTGGGTTAGACCAAATTTATCACAATATTATGGGGCGTCCACCCACTCATGGTTTACGGCAGCGCGTACGTGTGTTTGGGTAACTCCCCCCCCCCCCCCCCCCCCCAAAAAAAACTTTTGAAAGACTAAGGTTGGGTGTTACTGTACATATTACATTAGTTGTCTTATGGATTGGAGCCTGGTATGTAAGTGTTCTTTATAACATTGCTAGAAGCATTAAAAAAACATCACTGTATCTTACTTGAATTACTTCATCCAGAAGATCGGCTTCTAGGACCCCCGGGACAAAACCAGCACCAATCCCCTGGATCTTGTGAGGACCTTTAATACATCAAATAGAAAAGCACTTCAAATATTATTGTTAAAATGTCAAAAGTATGCAAATCTCATCTTGTAGATACTCTACGACCAACAATGGAGCATAAGAGTGGAATGGCTAGAAGAAATAGA